TATAATGAAACAACAAGACAAGAATCCAAAACACAATGAAAATATTGAAGCTATGGGTATGAAGCTGATGACAAAACTCTACTCACAGCAATTATATAAGTGAAATTGAAAACTAAAAATTTAGAGCATTTATTTAGTAGAGGTAATGTACTGGGTTCCCCAAAGATGTATTACTATATATTTACTCAACTTACTCAATTACTACAAATTACTCACCTACTAATTTGGAAATACATTCCCAGTGAAAGATATCCTTAAAACACAGAAAGCTATGCTACTAAGAACTCTTTAAAAACCTAAATAGTCAATAATCAATAGTCATTGTTATTTGTGTTAGAAATTCTAAGGATATATATTTGTGGTGAGACTAGCAAGTAACTAATTATTGACAATGTAAGTAAACTAAAGAAAAATCCTAAAACTCTTAATTTGCATTGGAAATATCAGTTTAAATGTATCTTGTATTTTTTTCTTTAAAATATATGCATATTTCCTAACCTTGTTTTAAGAGCAATAAAATTCAAGCTGCAAATTGGGAGAAAATATTAGAAGCCCACATAGCAACAATAGGCGTTTATTCAACAACAACAAAAGTAAGGTATCGATCCGATTAAAACAAGTAAAAGACTGATGGACATTTTTCAAAGGAGATTACAAATGGTTAACAGTCTATCAACATCCCAGACATTAGAGAAATTAAAATTAAAATGAGATATACTATATGTCTATTAAAATGGCTAAAATCCCCCCACCCATCACAGCCCCACCTGCTGGTCATCAGACAAGTCTCCTGTGGCCAGGCCACTCCACCACCATCCCCAGTGGCATCAGAGGGACCTGGAGGCACAACCTACACCTACACCTACAGGAGGAAGAGATGAGTGGCTGCTCTCCCAGCTGGACAGTCCTGCTTTCTAGACCCTAGGTCCCAAGGCACTTCCTGTGCCCCTCCCCCACCCATCAAAGACACAGCAGGGGGCAGCAGGCTAGTCTCCCCTGACCAGGTTGTTCTCCCTCCATCGCTAGTGGCTCAAAAGGTCCCAGGAGGCACAGCCCCCACCTGCACTGATTGGAGGAACAGCCCCAACAGCCAGTCAGCAGGCACTCCACACCCAGCCCCAGTGGCATCAGAGGCCCCCTGGAGGCACAGACGACATCACCTGTACTGATTAGAGGAAGAGCAGCCCCAGAGGCACAAGCACTACCTGCACCAATTGGAGGAAGAATCAACACCTGTACCTATAATTACCCCAAACCCAGATGGGAAGACAGCAGTGTAAGAATACATTCAACAACATAAAGAGTAATATGGCAACACCAGAGCCTAGTGGTTCTACAACATCAAGACCTGTACATCACAACACAGATGAAGCAGAAGAAAACAACCTTAAAAATACTTTATGAAGATGATAGAAGCCCTTAAAGAGGAAATGAAAAATTCCCTTAAAGAAATGGAGGAAAAGACAAACAAAAAAACAGAAGAAACCAATAAATTCCTTAAAGAAAGCCAAGAAAAAAACAATCAAACAGGTGAAGGAAACAATTCAACACTTGAAAACTGAAATAGAGGCAATAAAGAAAACACAAACTGAGGGAATTCTGGAAATGGAAAACCTGAGTAAATGAACAGGAACTACAGATGCAAGCATAACCAACAGAATACAAGAGATGGAAGAGAGACTCTCAGCCGTTGGAGATATGATAGAGGAAATAGATTCATCGGTCAAAGAAAATGTTAAATCCAACAAATTCTTAACACAAAACATCCAGGAAATCTGGGACACCATGAAAAGACCAAACCTAAGAATAATAGGGATAGAAGAAGGAGAAGAATACCAGCTCAAAGGCACAGAAAATATATTCAACAAAATCGTAGAAGAAAACTTCCCAAGGTAAAGAAGGACATGTACATGAAGGTACAAGAAGCTTACAGAACACCAAAGAGACTGGACCAAAAAAAAAAGTCCCCTTTGCCATATAATAATCAAAACACTAAGAGCTGCAAAGGAAAAAGGCCAAGTAACATATAAAGGCAAACCTATCAGAATTACACCCGACTTCTCAGTGGAGACTATGAAAGCCAGAAGGTCCCGGACAGCCACTAAGAGAGCATGGATGCCAGCCAGACTACTATATCCAGCAAAACTTTTAATCACCATAGATGGAGAAAACAAGATATTCCATGACAAAACCAGATTTAAACAATACTTATCAACAAACTCTCTCAATGTGCTTGGGAAATGGAGGCAGGAGGATCAGGAGTTCAAGGTCATCCTTGGCTAAATAGTAATCCCAACTGAGGCCAGACTGGGATACATAAGACCCTGTCTCAGGGTAGGGAGGCAATTTCTTATCAAGTTAAATATACATACACCATATGACCAGTTGGGAATTTATATGAAATTCAAGTGTACCACCACTCATAAGAAATGACCATTTTGCTGCATTTTTTGAGATAGGGTCTCTCTGTAGCCCTGGCTGTTTTTGAACTCACTAAGGCTGTCCTGAAACTCAGTATGTAGACCAGGCTGGCCTTAAACTCACAGAGATCTGCCTGCTTCTACCTCTAAGTACAGGGATTAAAGGCATGTAAAAATGAATGTTCAACTTTACTAGGAAGTGCAGATTAAAACAACAAAAGTAGGGGTGGGGTAGACTGGAGAGATGGGTCTGTAGTTAAGAGTGCTTGCTGCTCTTCCAAAGGGCCCAAGTTTGGTTCCCAGAAGCCACAACAATTCACAATTCTCCTTTAACTCCAGCTCCCTCTTCTGATGCCCTCTTCTGCCTTCTAAAGACACCTGAACACACATGGCAAATACACTTGTACACACATAAATAAGTCAAAAACTAAAAATAAATCTTTACAACTGCAAAGAATTGCAGTACATCCACTGACCAAATCTGTAAAATTTAAAAAGACTAAACAATACGAACATTTAGAAGTAAAAATATATAAATAAAAAATGCTGATGGAAATGAAAATTATCACTTTGCAGAGTTCACTAAAGCTACCATATCAGTGCCATACAATCCAGCAATCATACTGAAAGAAATGAACAAGAGAATCATAGCAAGAGCATTTGTAAAAGCCCCAAAGAAGCTATCTATCAAGAGTAAAATATACAGAGGGTTCTAGATACATGGCATATTCATACAATGGAACATTATCCACATGGACAAATCTCAAAAACATAATGCAGAACTTAAAAAGTCACAAAACAAAAAGCACAGGACATTTCCACATATAAAAAGGTTCAAAACCAGGCCAAAAGTCAAAAATAAATCTTATTTTTTTATAGTGACAAAAGTCAAAATAGTGGTTGCATTTGGAGAATGGTGTAAAGGTTAAAAGGGAAAAAAAGAGGCATAGAGTTCCAAGTAAAATATAAGATGCTCAGTTAAATTTGAATTCGAAACAACAAGTAATATTTTAGTTTAAATAGGTCCCAGGCAATGTTCAGAACATTTATTTTTACCTGCTAAAAATGGCAACCATAGTCAAGGGGGCTGCTTTGAGAGTAGGGGTAGTATTCCATTTCTTGATGTTCATTTCACGACCATCCATTGTGCATTTGTCTGCACATGGGTTATATTTCCCAATAAAAAAGTTTTAAAAAAAGCAAAGTACACTCAGTACTATGTTGCTGATTTTAAAATATCTCATCCAAACACTCTTTTTCCCTTCCCACCCTTAATCATTGCATGTGAGAGCTGAGATTCTTCTGCAGGCAGTGGGCAACAGTAATCAGCATAGCAGAGCCAAAAGCTGTAGGCTCTGCTTACATTTTTTTTATTAAAATTACTTTTGCACAGCATGCTTCTTTATTTCTGGAATCTTTTTTCATGCCCTCCTTCTTGGAGCCTTTCTTATTTGGCTGACTTAATCTTACCAAAGAGCAATGCTATGCTTCAGAGGCCAGTCTCTAACTTACATCAGCCAAGAAATGAAAGGCACAAAGCAGTGTTCGAAGTTGAACCAACTAACTGACGTGAGGGGTTAAAAATCAAACTCAGACGGAAAATCTACAAATAATACTGGTACTCTAGGGCCAGCATCTCAGATACAAAAACTGCTCAGAATTTGTGGTCAATTCGGTGCACTGAATGCTTTGTAAACTTTGATCAGAGGTTTACAAACACCTTGAGTGGCTCCATGTGACTTCCTTTTTATCATTTTTTAATACCTTCTCCTAAATGGCAATGGCAAGCCCAAGTAAAGGGCAGTAACTCCTAGAGAACAAAAGCCGGACTAGTTTTCCTCCTGTTAGGTATATTGCTACATTGCTGAGTTCTTTAATGTTCTGGGGGGGGGGGGGGGGGTTGTGATTTGGGGGGGGGTGTTTGCTTTGTTTCGTGTGTTTGTACTTTCATCTTGTACTCCAGGTTTAGGTACCTGTCTTCATAGTGTGGTACTAAACTTTATAGGCAAATAGAAGGCTTCCCTATCTGCCATGCCTCCTGCCGGATTTCCTCTATTTAATAACAAAATCTGTTTTTTTCACCCAGTGTACTAAAGATAATAATTAAATTCATGGGCTGTAAAGACCAGCTGCCTGAAAGAAAATCAGCATCACCACGAAGACCAGCTCTGGGCCTCAGTTTCTTCAACTGTAAATGGGAACAAAAAGTTATCTAATTCAAACAGCTGTTGGGAATACCCAAGGCGATTAAAGCACATCACCAAACACACATTAAACACTCCGTGGTTTTTTATCATCACTGTCACCAGCTACTTTGGACGGCCCTGCGACCTGTACTTAGATGTCATCTAAGAAAAACATTCAGATGCACTTTGAGAGGAAGTGGGGAGGGAGCACGAAGTTTGGTTTTAGGTGTACTCAGCGCACAGGAGGAAAGGGAAGGAGCTAGCTCTCCTGTAAGATCTAGGGAGCTGAACACTCCCGGATCCTGTCAGAACCCCAGGATCTGGCCAGGACCTCGGGCGTCCTGCCTACTCACATTGCGGTTAAAGCTGTTGCCAGGCAGAAGTGGCAGAGCCATGCCTGTCAGCGTCCGATGAGGATCGAGGATCTGACCAGAGAAATCTGACCAGGCAAAGGCCTCAACGGCCGCTTGTTTGACCCCTGCGTTACCAGGAGACCGGAGGTAGCGTCACGGAGGGAGGAGGGGCTATGATGGGCGGCGTAGGGGGCTTGGGGCGGGGCTTAGGGCAGAGCCCAGGCCTGGGAAGGGGTGGGGCGAAGCAGAGGCCCGAGGCGGCCCCTCCTGTCCCTGGTCTCCCTGCCCAACCCACCCACAACAAGCAGCCTAGTCTTGGCCTCACTCACTGGTTCCCGCCCACACAGTGAACTGCTGGGTTTCCACCCACGTCGCTTTCGGCTTTCACTCCTTTTTCCTAGAGCTCATATCCTCCCGTGACCTTCAGCTCACAAATTCTTGCCACAACATTGTTTGCCATTTTGTTATTAAATTTAATTAAAATGCCCAGAAAAGTACAGTAATAAGACGAACGCCTATGAGTTCACAGAGCTGTGTTGCAATTACACATTGTAATTAAAACTTTCAAGATGAATCTAAAATCATTCACAACCTACAGGGAAACCCATTCCAGCAGTAACCATGACCTTCAATCCTTCCTCTTGATCCTTTCATATATGAACTAAACATGGAAGATATAAGGTCCAATCAGCAGTGGCCAGGAGCAGGGTCAGGTGGCATAAAATGAGACTCTAACCCAGCATGGTGTCATGCACCTATAATCCTAGTACTCAGGAGGCTAAGATAAAAGGATTACCTGAGTTCCAAGCCAACCTGGGCAACATTGTGAGATTATGTCCAAAGCCAAAAACAAACAACCAAACAAACAAAAATTCAAGACTGTTCCACCATGCTCCCAGACGCCTAGAACGAAAATCTACAGTTAATTGCCCACAGCTCTGCTGGCTGGACACCCTACTATATTTATTGCTCCCTCTGCTACTTCTGTTGAGACCTCTCCCCCCATTTACGGCTTGCCTTATTCTCTTCCTTAGAAGTGGCGGTGGGAACAACTGGTCATCTTACAGAGCCTTCATTTGTGAAATTCAAAACGCAGTTGTTACTCTCTTCTTCAGGAAGCTGATCTGCCTTCCCCTTCAGGCCATCAAACTCCTTAGCTAGGTCTAGAGCCCTTGTCAAAAGGACTTTTCATCTGTTTCGTCTGCTGCTTTACCTCTCCCCTCCTCTGCCCCAGCTCCAAGAAACCTGTCTAGCTGTTTGCACCAGGCTCTCCTGGTGGAAATCACACTGTCTTCTTGAAACATGCCTTTCTTCCTATGCCTTACCGAGGTAACCCTTTCTTGTCTTCTGGGATTTGGTTTAGTGAGAGAGAGACAGGTTTTGCCACTGCAGGGAAATGAATGTTCTCTCAGGTCCCTTCCCACCCCTCCTCCATCTGCATTAAGCATAATACACACTAATTGCTGCCTTCTGCCTGCTGCATTGTAATCATGTGTTTGCTTGAATTTTCTTCAAATGCCCGAAAATTCTTCAAAGACAGAGATTGTTCTTCCACAATCTCTGTCTTTATTTTCTGTGTTTATAGAGTTTACATTTTGACTTGCCTCCCACACAAGCTATTTGCCATTGGCATGCCCTCGAAGCCCTGAGTAAGCCACTGCTCTTTTCACCTATGGATTTTATATTTGAGATCTCTACATTCTGACAGGTCTATTAGATGGAGTTCATCCATCTAATGTGCATTCTGTGATTTGAACATAAATTAGTTACCCATCTGCTGTCATCTACTGATGACAATTACTGTTTCCAATGTTTTACTAATCACCAACAATAAAGCAATGAGTGACCTAAACCTCTTCTTCTTCTTTTTTTTTTTTGTTGTTGTTTGGGGTGTTTTCTTTTGAGACAGTCTCACCATGTAACTCAGACTGGGCTCAAACTGGCAAACTGGTAGTTCTCCTGCTCCTTTCTGATGATTTTAAAAATACTTCCTTTTTGTTACTTTCTAAAGTGAACTAATTTCAAAGTACTAGAAAAGTTGCAACAATAGAAGTTCAGCCTGGTGGCACAGGCCTGTGATGCCAGCTACTTGGGAGGCTAAGGCAAGAGAATCACAAGTTCAAGTGAGCTCAAGGCCAGTCTAGGCTATTTATAGAGCCCTTAACTCAAAATAAAAGTAAAAATGTAAAAGAACAACAAAAACAATCAAACAAACAACAACAACCAAACAGGCTAGGGATGTGGTTCAGTGGAGAGTGCTTGCCTAGAAAGCACAGGACCACCCATTAGAAAAGAGTACAACTAACTCCCATTTACACTTCATCCAAATTCAACTGTTTTGTCTTAGTACATTGGTTTTACCATTCTCTCTATATTTGGGCTTTGTTATTGTACAACAGCAGACAGAACATGTCTTTGTCCCTGAATACTTCAGCATTACCTCCTAAAAACAATGATAGTCTGCTGTGGGATGGTCTGTATGTCAAGTGTGTTGCTGATTAGTCAATAAATAAATCACTGATTGGCCAGTGGCCAGGCAGGAAGTATAGGCGGGACAAGGAGGAGAATAAAGCTGGGAAGTGGAAGGCTGAGTCAGAGAGACACTGCCAGCCACCAGGATGACAAACAGCATGTGAAGATGCCGGTAAGCCACATGGCAAGGTATAGATTAATAGAAATGGATTAATTTAAGCTATAAGAACAGTTAGCAAGAAGCCTGCCATGGCCATACAGTTTGTAAGCAATATAAGTCTCTGTGTTTACTTGGTTGGGTCTGAGTGGCTGTGGGACTGGCAGGTGAGAGAGATTTGTCCTGACTGTGGGCCAGGCAGGAAAACTCTAGCTACAATAGTCTCTTCCTTAACTGAAGTACACTTGAAAATCAGAAAATTGGTATGAATACCATTATCTTATCTAAAATTTAAATCTTGTCAACTCTCCCAATAATGCCCTTTTGTCCAGAATCTGATCCACAATATCATGTGTGGCTCTTAGTTTTCATGGCTTGCTATTCTCCTTTAATCTGGAATAGCTCTTCCATCTTTTTTTTCCTGACCTGACCCAATATTGAGAGGATAAAGCTCAATGTCAGGGGAAATAAGTCATCAAGTTTATGATAACTAATGTTTCCTTTGGGTTATGGCTTAGGACAGAAATGCCACAAAGAGGAAAGCTATGTTCTCTTAGTTCAGCAAAGGAGCAAACACATGACACTGTAATCTTACCCTGACTGGTGATGGTCACTTGGGATAAGATGCAGTGTACCAACTTTTTGTTCAATAGACAAGAAAACAGATATAGATATGCACAGAAAGAAATATGTCACAAGCTAGGAGTCTCCACCAATAATTCCACTTTCAATCAGCACAGTAGAATGCTTGCTCTTGTTTCCCCCTTTGCACATGTATATATGTGTGGTATATTCATACATGTTCACATATGTGTGGGTGCATGGCACAAGTATGTAGAGGTAAGAAGTTGGTGTCTGTTTTCTTCCTGGATCATTCTCCACTTTATATTCTGAGCCAGAGTCTCTCACAAAAGTAAGAACTCACTGTTGGGGCTAGTCTAGCTAGCTAGCTTGCCCTGGGGATCACATCTCTACCTCCTGAGGGTTATTGTTGTGGAATAATCTTTTTGTACACTGTGAAGATGTGTCACTCTGATTGGTTTAATAAAAAGCTGAATGGCAAATAGCTAGGCAGGATTTCCAGGCAGAGAGGACACTGGGAAGAAGAAGGGTGGAGACGCCAGGAGACAGAGAGGACACAGAGTAAAGGTAAGCGAGTCACATAAAAGAACATAGATTAAAAGAGATGGGTTAAGTTATAAGAACTAGTTAGAAACAAGCCTAAGCTATCGACCAAGCTTTCATAATTAATAATAAGTCTCCATGTCCTTATTGGGTAGCTGACGGTCTGACAAAAAAAAGTCTTACTACAGGTTATGATTACAGGTTTCACAGCTTCTATGCAGCTTTTTGCATGGGTATTGGAATCCATACTCTAGTCCTTAACCTTCTGTAGCAAGGACTTTATCTACTGAGCCATGTCCCCAGCTCTGGTGTTCCTCTTTCTGCATCTTAAACCTTAGAAACCCGATTCAAATGAGCATCAAAACATTTACTTATTTGTCCAAGACAAGACCACAAAAGCAGTTTTAGGTCATCCAACTGGGCGATGAGTAGCTTTGTGGCAGAATACCTGCTTAGTGTACAGGGGGTCCTAAGCTTCTTTCTAGCCCCATGAGAGTAAAAAGCACCTAACAGGTCTATGTAAAAATCAAACCTACCATGGGCTCCACTATTTGTTCACAGCACTTTCCTTTAGACTTAATGCTTATAGTCAAAATACCAAGCTCCAAACTTTCTTGGGTTTGTTTCCCTCTCTGTGTTTACGGTACTTATATTATTCATTTGTAAGTCAGTTTGGTTCGTTCATCTATTGACAGTCCACATTATTTATTCTCTGTCTTATTATATATAATTTGTATCTGTCCTATTTTGATCTGGTTAGTTTGGCAAATTATTTATTTATTCTTCTTACTCTCATCAATTCAGCTCATTTTCTTTTCTACATCATTATTGCTTTTCTGCATCCACACTTATTATTATTTCATGCCTTATGATTTCTTTGAGCACATTTGCTTTTGTGACTTTCAAAGTTAACACAATTTATGCATTTTATTTATATTTATTTAAAACTACATATTTTCTTGCAATCTCTAAATGTATCCAATTGTCTCTGGTATCTAGTATTTTCATTACTTTTTTTTTCTTTTGCTTTTTTGCTGTTTGGTTTGTTTTGTTTTTAACCTTAGTGTTGTTTAATACATTTTCAATTTCTAATTGAAATGAATGTATGAAGTTTATATTTGGTTTTATTATACCTTGATGGCATTGTGCTAAGAGAGGGGCTCGGAATCTTTCAAATGGTATGGGACTTACTGATGTTTTCTTTGGGATCTAATATTTGTGCAGTTGAGAAGGAAGGTCTCTAATGGGTTCTAAAATTCAATGTGTCTAGTTATCATGTTACTCACTATTTCTGTATCCTTACTGTGTCTGACACTTGATCTGCTTTGTGCTGAAAGGCTTCTACTAGCCTGTGTTTCCATCTGTATCTTCTTGAAACTGTAGCTATTGCTTTTAAAAGATGGTTAGGGAGAGGGATGTACATAAATACTACAGCTCTTGCTTAGAATGCATGAGGTCCAAGTTCCATACCTGCAAAATAAGTCAATGATGGTTACTAAGTGGTATAGATTTTTATAACAATTACATTTACATTGTAAAATGGTTTTCATGGCTCAGCAGTTAAGAACACATACCACTCTTACAGAGAACTTGAGCTTAGTTCCCTGCACCCATAGCCAGTGCCAGTGACTAATAACTGTCTGTAACTCAAGGTCCATGAGAACCATTTACTCTTTTAAGAGCCAAGATATATGATTATGCCCCACTTTCCAAATAACATAATAATATGAAATTTCTTTTCTCTTACAGTACGAGGGATGGAACCCAAGACCTTGAAAATGCTGGGCAAACATACCACTGAGATGAAGTTTCAGTCCTTAAAATTCATTTTAAAGTGACTACATATGAAACACAGAAAATTGTATGTCACTGTGCATAATTGTATTTATAAAAGCCTTTAATTCTTTTTGGATGTATATGTTCTTATTAAAAATTAAGATAATGTTATACCCACTGGTACAATAGTATGGCATCATGAGGATAGTTACCTCATTGTGATTTCTGGTTGGATTTGAGGCGAGCTGCATGGGGAGGGAGAGATTTCATGTCTGAGACTATAATTCTGGTGAAAATCCCATGACTTGGGAGGTCATAAGGCCTAGAGTAGAACTCACTGTTGTTTTGTTCAGTGGTTGTCTTACTACTCTACTGCTGTGATAGGATACAATGATCAATGCAGCTTATAGAAGAACAAGTTTATTGGGGACTTGCTTATAGTTTCAAGGTTTAAAGTTCATGACCACTGTGACAGGGAACACAGCAGCAGGCAGTCAGATAAGTGCTGGAGCAATAGCTAAAAACTTACATCCTGATCCACAAGTAGGAGGCAGAACAAGCTAACTGGGAAAGGCATTGGCTTTTGAAACTTCAAGTCTCACCCCCAATGACAAACCCTCTCCAACTAGGCTATACCTCCTAGTCTTTCCCAAACAGTTCTACCAACTGGGACCAAACATTCAAATACATAAGCCTATGGGGAGCATTCTCATTCAAATCACCACATGGTCATGTTGTCAAATTGTCTTCTTTTAGAAGTTATGTTTTTAACCATAGGTCAAAGAAGCTTTTTTTGCAGTGGGCAGCAGTTAATGCAGAAAGGAATAATTAGTTAAAATGCTGAGAATAAGAGACTGAGAACTCAGCTCTAAATTGGTCATCTATATCAACCTCTCCATCCCCAAGGCTCAGAGAACACTATGGAAGAGGAGATGGAAAGAATGGGGGACAGGAAGGAACACTATAAAATACTGTCTTCTGGACATGGCAAAGCTATCGTATTCATGAACTCAGCAGCTATGGTTACCTACACAAGTTCAAGATAGCCATCCTGCATAGATGAGGGAGGTGCTGTCCAGGCCCCACTCCTTACTGAGGAGCTATTTGACACTGATAGAGACTGGGGTTCTTTATTCCTTTCAAATAGATGCCTCCAGTGACATCTGACTTACCACTATACCCCAACTTCTAAGGGCAACTAATGTCTTCCAAAAGCACCAAGCTGGGGACAAGGAACAAAGATTAAACATATGAGTCTTTGGAGAATATCCTAAAGTCAAACTATAGTATAATTTCATACATACTTTTATTACTGAAGCTTATTTTCTTACACTGGTCAACATGGTTCTTTCTAAAGAGAAAGTTTTAGAATGTTTTCCTTAAAAATAGTACCAAAACCTCTATGGGTACTCAAAACACTTCTATAAAGTAGCACAACATTTTCGTAGACTGATCTACTTCTAGTTTAGCTATTGTGCCAGTTAGCTATCAATTTGACACAGCTGGGGGTAACAAGGAAGAGGGAATCTCAACTGAGAAAATACATCTGTCAGCGTGGCCTATAGCAAGCCTGTAGAACATTTTCTTGATTCATTATTGTGTAGGAATGGCACAGCCCATTATGGGTGGTGCTAACCCTAGGCAGGTGGCTCTGGGTTGTATAAGGAAGTAAGCTGAGCAAGCCATGGAGAGGGGTTGAACCTCTAGGTTCCTGCCTTGAGTTTTTATCCTGACTTCCCTTTCTGATGGACTGCAATTGGGACAGAGAAGTCAAATAAATCCCTTCTTCCCCAAGTTGTTTTTGGTCAGTGTTTTATCATAGCAATTGAAAGCAAAGTAAAACATCCATGATACTTAATACAATGTAAAGACTATATAAATAACTGTTATACCCTTCTAATGTTCAATGATAGAGTAGGATAACAATGGCTAACAAAAATTATATGTTTCACACAAGTTGCCAAAGGACTCTGAATGGTCACAACATGAAGACATGATAAATGTCTTAGATGATGGATATGCCAATTACCTAAAATGATTATTATACATAAGATATGTATATTGAAATGCCATGTGGTATGTTCTGAACATATCCAATTATTATTTTCTAGTTAAAAAAACTTTTAAAACAGTTATACTGAAGCACTTAGGTGATCATGGAAAGGTATAGAGTCTATCCATGTTTAGTGTAGATGCCAATTTTTAAAAATCTTTTTGGTTGAATGTTGGGTACAGAGGGCAGATTGTTGGTCATCTAATCAACAATTTTAATTAATCTCTTGTGTTCATGGGGCACCACTTTTCTTTCTTGTGCTGGTTGACTTTCCTTCATAGTGGATTTTTTTCTCATGTGTCTACTAATGTTTATGGTGATCCCACTTATGGTAACTCAACAAAGCTGTAACTAACTCCTGCTTATATGGAGTGTTTTCTCTACTATGCCATAGTCCATGTAAACTGCCCACTATTTTGTCACAACCATATTCTATACACACAGGCCTATTTTTTCTATGTAGATACTTAAAAAAAAACAGTTAAGAGAGTAGAGATTGCCTAAAATCTAGGCCATAAAACTGCCACACACCATTATCTATCACCTTGTATGTTCATACCCGCCATCTCTTTAGGGCCTATTATTATATCCACCTTTGTGGGTATCCCCTACATACTGTCTGTTCTCTCATATTCACAAAGATTTATTGATTCAATGGTTGTATTTAAATCAGTATTTATTGAACAACTATTCTAATGTAATAGGATCTTTCCCAAACACTGTAGTAAGTGAGTAGGATTCTTGTTTAGCCTCATCCCAGTTAAGGGACCATTGCTAGGCAAGCACTCCATTAGGTACAGTGACACTTCTAGATACCTATGACCCAAGATTCTCAGGTGTTTATAGGTTGGAAATTGTTGCTTCTTATTCTTTTCATTCTGAGCACATATCTTCCTTTTCTGTCTCCCTGATGCATCCACCACTAAGCATCTTCTAAAATGACATATAATTCTTCCCTGAAAGAAAATTAAAGTGAACTAGTTTGGAGAATTATAAGACACCCCCTGAAATAACCAAAGAAATCTTGGGGCATGCCAAGACCAGTGCTAGGCAACACTGTTATTGATGTTCAAAGAGCCTGTTACACACCCACATAGGAAAAAAAAGTGCAGGGGAGGCCAACAGCTCTAACACTTCTGAGCAAGCTTCAACTGGCCTAGAAGCAAAGAAAAATTTGCCCAGGTGAAGAATTTCTTTTGAGGAATGAGGTCATCCTACAAGCTGGGTCCTCTCTACAAGACGCAGCAAGAGGGAGTACCTTTGATGGATAGTCTATGAAAACTTCCTTTTCTCCTCTAGGGCAAACCTGCCTGTCAGTTCCTCTCGAGCTAAATGTTCTCATCAATACTCTGTTCTGTTCTCCTCAGCTCCTAAAATCCAACCATTCTTCCTTACTATTGTGTGTTTGAAAGGGTTATATCCACATTTCAATTTCTCATCCTGAACATCTAAAGAATTAATACCACTTCTTCACACACACACACACACACACACACACACACACACACACACACACACACACACACACAAAAAAAAAAAAAAAAAAAAAAAAAAAAAAAAAAAAAAAAAACAGAAATAAAATGGGGACACTAAGTAACTCTTTCTGTTAGGCCAGTATTTCTTTGGCACCAAAACCAGACAAAGCTCTCATCAGAAAAGGAAACTGCAGTATCTCTTACCAATAAAGACTCAGAAAGAAATGAGAGGCTGGAGTGCATTTTAGTGGTAGAGCACAGGCCTGGCATGTACAAAGTCCCAGATTACACCCTCAGCTACAATGAAAAAGAAACAGAAATCCTCAATAAAACACTCGCAAAGCAAATCCAGCAACATAGCAAAAGGATTATAGAGCAAAGAACAAGTGGGATTTGTTCCAAGATTTCAAAATTGGCTTAGCATCTTAAAGCACCAAATTAACTGAACACGGGGGCTGCAAGAATATTGGCAGCTGTCAAAGGTTTCTGAACATACAGTGACCAAAAATTAACTCAAAATCAAATGGATCATGAATCCAAGCTGTTTCTGGCAGAGTTTCTGTCTATGACATCATGACTTCACTGTCGCCTTAGTTATGAACGTACAGCACTGTGTACACCATCACACCACACAACACTAATCAGCACTGAGCTCAGATATGAGGTTACTGTATGAGTTGTGTATTTTTCTTTTAGTTTTCTGCTTTTTTAAAAAATATGCTTTTCATATTTATTCCCCCAAAAGAAAGTTACAGATAATGTAAATTGAAATGAACTTTACTCACAGAAAATGTTTCTGTCCTATTTGTCTAATTTCTATTATATATCACATTTTAAGGCTAGGGATGTAGTTCAGTGGTAGTGTACCATTTGAGTATATGTAGTTCCTAGAATGTGTAGGACCCCGAGGTTGATCTCCAGCATCACAAAAAATCATGTTTAGGTGGGCCAAAATAAACTATTGGGAAATTTTAATGCATTATTATTGATACTAAACATTTATGTACTGAGATTTATTAACACGTGCATTCTCAATGGGGATTAATACAATATTCCTGTGTTTGGTAAATTTTCAATTATAGTAAAGTGTTTGACCATTTTGTTAAATTTTTATATTTGTATGTGTGTTGTGTACATATGTGTACATGTTTGTGTATATTATGTGCAGGGGTGTGTGTGTGTGTGTGTGTGTGTGTGTGTGTTATGTGTAATGGAGGCCAAAGGTTAACATCAGAAGATTTCCTCTATTGCTCTCCATCCTATGTTTTGAGACCAAGTCTCTCAGTAAATCTGGAGTTCACTGAGTTGGTAAGACTAACTGGCCAGAAACGGGCAGGAATCCTCCTGTCTCCACCTTTATAGGCATGCACTGTACTCTGCTTGACTTTTTATGTGGGTGCTGGAGATCCAAATTCAGGTCTTTGTGGTTGCTCTATAAGCCCTTCTGAGCTGTCCCTCCAGCCCCTGCCATTTAAAATATTATGTGTTGTTAATTGTATACATGTCTATAATTGTTTGTTGCTAATTGTATACATGTATATCACGTATTTTTGTCATATTCACTCTGACTATCCTCCCCTATATCCCTCCCATTTGGACCCTTTCT